ATAAGAACTAAACTGAACAAGATTCACCAATCTTAAGCTCACACTTATTTCTCACTTAAACCAACTTGTAAACTCCTTCGATCGCTACGAACTGTCAAAGTTGTTTAGCAAAGTGTAGTTTGCTAAATAAAAAATCGGCATGGAGAAAGGGACAAATAATCACACCACTCTGTCTCATTTCTATGCACGATGTATGCATAAATCTATACTAACTAACACGTAGTTTAGTTAGTGGCTGCATAAATTTATCCTATTCGTGTGCGAATGCGCAAGAAGGTGTCAATTTATCTATAGGTTTCTCTGTCTACGGGTTTATAGTAGGGTGGACCCTTCTATAACTTATGAAGCCGTTAGGGATTACTTCTAATGCATTTTAGCGATATTAAACGTTTATGAATAATTTTTTACGGGTACCTCCTTATAGCAAGCTAATAAACCTATTTTAACTTTTTATGAATAAGATTTTAAGACTGTTATAATTTTCATTATCGATTTTTATAGTAGTATTAATCGATTTTTTAGTAAATCGATTATATAAATTACGTGTTTAAATCGATTTTTAGAAACAACTCGTATCTATGCGACGGATGAAAAAAATCTTGCAGTAAGTTTCAATTTTATAAACAGGGCCATTTATGCGTTTGAATTATTGTGTTGTGAAGAAGGATAATAACACAGCAATATGCAAGTACTGTTCGAAAGAATTAAAAACCTGTAGTAATACTATAAATTTAAAACTGCACATAGAACGAAAACATCCTGCTGTCTTACAGGTAACATGATTAATATATTTTATAATGATTATTATTGTCCGAAAGCAAAATACTGGTGTCTGTAAAATTCGTTCAGTAAAACTAAAAACGTCTGTCATGCGAGTCGTTCGTTTTATAACCTCTATATATTAGATAATCATTATAGAGATTATCAAAATTATTGTTTTTAAACTGCTTACCTGAAAATTAATGATAATATTAATTAAAATTTTTGAATATTTTATGATAATACGTTAACATTGTCGTTTAGCATTTTGACTTATCGTTTTTTTTTATTTTAATACTACTCTTACGTTAAAAAAAAGCCAAAAATTGTGAATAATTTTAGTTTTCGTGTTTTGATTGTTTAAACTTAAAAAAATAACGAAAGATTTGTTTAATATTTTAGGTTGTGAGACAACGTAGGTTTTTCTTAAATTCTCGTTTTAAGAATTTTATTTTAATACTACTCAAATGTAAAATAGGACTGGACATTTGCGACAATAATTATTTATAATTTTATAATTGTTTAAACTTGAAGATTAACGATAGATAATTTTATATTTTAGTTTTTGAGACCATAACGTAGTTCAGGATTTTCAATAATACTTTTAATTATTTTGTTTTAATACTGATCAAATGTAAAACAGGGCTGGACATTTTTTTAAATAATTATTATTTTATTGTTTAAACTTGAAGATTAACGAAAGATTTGAATTTAAGTTTAGTTTTTGAGACAATAGCGTAGCCGTTTAATATTTTTAATTCTCATTTTAAGTATTTTATTTTAAAACTAGTCAAATAATAGGACTGGACATTTATGGCAATTTTTTTTTATTTGATTATATTTTAAGTTTTTGAGACAGTAAGTTTGTCATTTTGTTGAGATACTCATCATTTCATTTTTATTATAATAAATGAAACGTTTAGTAATACTTAAATTTGTATTAATTATGATATTTGGTTTCCTAATTCCCTACCGAGAAATTTCAAAGGAACATTGCCTTTGATTTTTAGTTTTGAATTTGTTATTTTTTTATTCATTTAATTTTATTTGATTTTTTATCTGATAAATTGTTAATATGAATCTCTTAGGTTTATTATTGGAATATGAAAAGCGTGTACTTTTAAATAATACAAAAAAAATCGAATTGTTCGCAGAAATCGATTATTTAAAATTTATAAGAATCGTAAATTTTTTTGACAAATCGATTACTTTTGAAAAAAGAAACATCGATTTTTATTTAATTGATTCTTTTCCATTTACTTCAGAGCATGGAGGTCCTCTAGCCTCCATGCTTCAGAGCATGGAGGTTAGAGAACAGCAGAACGATCGCCGTAGAAAATAGTGTCCCAGAAATATGGACCCCATAGTTGAGGCGCTGCGATCGCTAAGTGCGCTCAATAAAAGACATTTTTAGTCTATTTTTCCGATCAGATGGTAAACCACTTGCCATCCATGCACAATAAAATATTTCTCTATTTTTTAATGTTTCTTTTTGTTAAAAATTACAAAATTATGGAGCTTGAAAATTTTCTCAGCAATGCCGCGGAGAAAATTTGTACATTATTCAACTAACTTCATCTACTTGTACTCGTAAACAGCTAACTTCGCAGTCACTACTCACCGACGTCAGCGCCGCTATAAATTCTACAATTTTCAAGGACATGCGGGCTATGATTTTTTAGTACGTAGTGATCAATCTCCTGTTCTCTAACCTTCATGCTTTGGAGTAAATTTTTTTTTCAGGTGACATTGCCAGGTTGTGGTATGTTTGTCTTAGGTTTTGTTTGTAATAAATACCCTTTTTTATACGGTAGTACTTAAGGCACACATGTGTCCCCCTCCCGAGCTTACGGGTCCCGTAATATATCTTGTAATAGGGTACACCTAATGTGGCCCATTTTCAAAATATCGCCGATTTGGTCGATAAACTTTCGTCTAGGGCGTCCCTTCCCGATTCTGGCCATTCACATCTGCAATATAAATTTGCTTTGTCGCTCTTTCCTCGTTCATTCTTTCTACGTGACCAAACCACCGGAGCATTTCTTTCTTAATCTATTTTCTTAAATTAGTATAGTATAACCAAGACTATTCATAATATAAAGATTCCTGAGATACTATAGTTGTCAACCGTAGGCTGAGTTAAGTTCGTTATGATAAAATGCCCAATATCTTGGCACCGTGATGCATCATAAACATGTTACGAGACATTTCTAAATACACGCACCATGGTGCGTAAACTTGGTACCATGGAGTATAAAGGTAAGGAGGGCAATCTCCCGTAGGAGAATAGTTGAAAATATGTTTTGAAAGCAATGAAATAATTATTGTAAAAATAATTATGGTGAAACTCTGTGCAATAAAAAAAATTATAAAAAGTTCCTTAAAATTTAGACTGTAGCTACAGTGGCGCCACCATTGCTTAGTGCTTTCTTACGGACACTTTTTATACAAAGCATGGCGGTTAGAGAACAGGAGTACGATCGCTACGTGCTAAAGCATAGCCCGCATTAAGCTGGTATGTTACGCCGGTATTCTGTGAGAGTGTGGTCCCTCACAACATAGCTGTATCATGGCTCTATCACAATTAGTTTAACTTTCACTTCAATCCATGCAGTATTACCAGTTATGCCTGGTGAGCGTTTTTAGCACTGGCTTGCGTGAAATAGGGAGCACCATTGTTTCTTACCATTTATTTAGCTTCTAAAATGTATTTTATTTAACACTAAGTATAACATAATTACTTTGAAATGTATAAAGAGTATCAGAGTAAGTAAAACGAAAAATGGTCCTGTGTCATAAGAGATCTTAATTTCTTATAAAAACTAAGAGTGGATGAGCATACTTTGACCCTTTTTAACTTACTGATTTCCAAAGATATTTGAAAAATAAAAACAGTTTTTCTCGTAATTTTTCGTAGATTTCGATATCTCTCTAACATAGTTTGCCAACCAGGTCAGGAAAGATTGAAGTATCACAAATTTGTTAATACAAATTTTATTAAAAATCTCTCTATTTTTCAGGTTTTGGCGTACTTCCTCCAGAATGACCTTCCAAATGAAATGAAAACGCAGACACAACATTGTTACTTCATTTTATGGCAGATATATTTGATTCTATCAATGGGAGTTTAAAAAAGCTACTATGTGAATCCGTTATTAGGTCCAGTCACCCAAAGGTCTGAGCACCATAAAAAGTGGATAGAAGGCGTCAAAGTTTTCAAAGTAATGAAATTCATAAATTGTGCTGGGAATATAGATGCATCTATCACTACTGTCAATAATTGGGTGTGGACACTGAAAGCCATTCAATTATTGATAAGAAAACTTAAGGGGGAACACAATAATACGTCTGTTTGGATGCGACACCTAAACCAAGAACTGAAAAAAAAAACTGAGCGCAACACGCAGTCATGGGTGCCGCAATAATAACCCGACTTACAAGCAATTTGAAAACGCTTTTGCCCTTCTTGTCAATAATTTGAACAGTGGCCGCATTCGGGAAAAAAATTGTGAAGGGGACTTCTGTGATTCACTACACTCATTATTAATCACATAAAATAGCGAAGCTATGTCTACCGAAACCTATACATAATTATGAAACAGAGTACATAAATATGAAATTGCTCTTCATGGAGAAAATAAAAATAAGATCCAACCATTATTGCACCCTTTAAATATGTAAATGGTTATTTTTTTAGAAAAAAATAAAAAAGTAAAATTTTTAAGGGGTGCAATATATGCTCGAGTAAACTTACTAGTGCCCCATAACGTAAGAGCGAATTTAACAAGTGAACAGTATAGAAAAAATAAACGATTTTATACCAAATGCTCTTTAATAAAACCTAATTTTGAGGAAAATTAGAAAAGTAGCATACATAAACGCTACGTGTTAATCTCTAGTATATATTCAGCGTAGACAGAGAAACCTATAGAAAAATTAACGCCTTCTTTCGCATTCGCACACGAAAAAGATAGATTTATGCAGCCACTATAGGCTGTCAACTTCGTTCAGACCGCGCCCGCGGGGTTACAGGGGTTGGCAAGGACGAGGTAAAACGGTCTCAAAGGGGAAGCAAGCGGTATGCGGGAGGGCGAGCGAGCACACCGCGTGTTCAGGAGCGCCAGTCGCCGGTGGTCGTTTGCAACGGTTACTTGTATACTAGGCGCACACGAGATTACGATCCGAAGATGAATGAGCAAACCGATTGGACGACAATCAAAGAAATTGTGTATAACGTAGACATGTTTTTTAAAGAGCGTAAAAAAGATAAATCATCCCAGGAATACCAGAACGACATTAATTTGGCAAAAACCGTGTCTGTAGCGACAGGGCTCCCGGAAAGAACAATAAGAAGAATTGTCAGTGAAAGAAATACAATGGATGACACTGCAGGTCCTTCCAAGTTCAAATCTCCCAGAAAAATATTGTTTCCCGAAAAGCGAATTGAAGTAGATAGTTTCACTTTAGGAGTGATACGACGTAAAGTGTCCCAGTTCTAAAGTGTAAAAAAAAATTATTAAATTACTTGCTTAATTAGAATAAATATTATTACTATTATTCGATAATTAATCTTTTATTTTCCCAATTTTCGTTCTACTTTCAGCGTGCATTACATTTTATACTTGTACTAGATTTTGCAAAGCTTCCTCATGAACCACTCCGTCTATTAGAGAAAACCGCACGAAAATCCGTTTAGTTGTTTTAGAGTTTATTATACAGACAGACGCGACGGGGGATTTTTTATAATATAAATTGATTTAATATTATATCAAATTCATCACTACATCACAAAATACTTGGTAATAAATCTAAATAAATCAATATTAATCTCAAGATATCTCGATCACAAATCCCTACATGTGTAGTGGGCGTGGCCTCGTGCACGAGCTGCGTGCTACCTCGTCCCCGTCCACCCTGTGTACCCCGTGGGCGCGGACTGCACGACGTTGACGGCCTACACCATAGAGTAGAGTAATATATACAGAAAGCCTACACTCACCGACGGCAGCGCCGCTATAAATTCTACAAATTTTCAAAGACAGTCTGGCTATGCTTTAGTACGTAACGATCGTTCTCCTGTTCTCTATCCTCCATGGTACAAAATCCTGAAACACAGATAACTATATACTAGACACTGAGAAGCCTAAGGGTATTAGTGTTCTGTGGAGAGAAGAGAATGTAAGTCCTGAAATTGCTTAAATATTTCAAACTTATTATCTGTAAATTATACATGGACTGTGGTGTTTTTTGACGGTGACAGTCTGTCACAGATATTTACAAATCTAGCCAATTGTGATCAATTTAAATTGTGAAAAAAACAGTTGAACTTAAAATTTCGTGCGGTGGTATTTGTAGACAGAGCGTGTTAATTTTTAGATTCTTATGATTTTTAAATATTTTATTCATTTAAAAATTGATCCTGTGTGTGTGCATATGCATTTGTAAATTTATCATTAGATAATTACAAATATAGTCTTATATATTTCGGGTAATGGAAGTGGACGGTATGGAAAGTTGGGGCAGTAATGCCCCGGAAGTTACTAAATTTGCTAATTTAAAAGCTTTTGTGACTGCTGCTCGTGAATTTGAGTCTACGCATAGTGAGTCTGCAATAAATTTAATGACGAGGTATTTAGGTGTAAGTATAAACATCTCTTTTCTCTTTCTGTGTGAGCAGAGAGAATTCAATTCTCAGTATACTGAATGTATTGGATGTATTTTATTTATATAGTTTCTCCTTATTTAAAGGTGTAACACACTACAAAATATCTTGTTTGACACAAACTATTATCGCTTAACAAAAAGGTAATGAACCATAATGCTTAATTTTCTGCCTATGTATAATATAATATAATAGGAATTCTAAAACAAATTTAATGGCAGAGCCCAATGTTCCAGTGCCAGCAATTAATACTATTTTCTTTCTAAACCTGTTTTTTATGGAATAAGGGTGACAAACAAGCACAGTCCACCTAATGGCAAGTGGATGCTGTGACCCATAGACATCAACATTTAAACTCGATTAAAAATCAATATGTAGATGCTTTGTCACCCCTAATGAATGAAAAAATGATAAAAAATGAACTTTGATAAAAAGTTATAGCTCACTATAAAGAACTTAAAATAAACAAAAAAAAAATACATTCTAAACTTGATGATAACACATGATTGAAATTATTATATTCTTTTTAGTTTTTGAAATAGTTTATTTTTATTAACAGTTATTAAAATAATTTTCTTACTCTTTCTTTGGACCGAGGACTTTCACAATCTCAATATCCTCTTGCAAATTTATAAGGGATGGCAGTTTTCCTTATACTCCATACTGGTGGAGGAAAGGAAGGTCTGCAACACCTAGAATAAGGAGATCTTTATAAAAAATAAAATAAAAATGTTCTATTTATCAGGCATCATTGACCCATAGCATGTTAGTAATACAAAAAAACTAAAAAAAAACTATAAACTTAAAAAAAATATGTGGATATATACAACACATAAATAAAACAAGACTAAAATTCAAAAATTGGGGTTTTTATAATGTAGTATATCGATGATGAAGTGCCAATACCTCCTATCTGATTTTTTTCAAGAAATTCACTTTTTTATAAATTTAAATTAAAAGTTCAAATTTGTATGTCTTAGTAAAACCTCTGAACTGTTTTATTCACTGTAACAAGATTTATTACAATCTAGAAATACCTTCTAACTGAATCATCAACCTCATAACTTCTAAAAGACAATCACGAGACGATTCAGAAGATAGAATCTGAATCTTCGAACCTAATAGACAAAACTGGCTCCCTCGATGGGGACTTTTTGGGTGATGACACTGAAGTAACTTATTGTCCCTCAGACACTGATCTAGCTTCAACCAATTCTAGTTCGCAGTTTCTTTTAGATGAACCATCCACTTCATCGTGTATCTACCAGGACAATACAAGGAAGAAAATGCCAAATTAAACGTGATCCACATGAGAAGAAAATAAAAAATAAGAAGCTTTGTATGTTAGGACAAGAACATCTGGGTTACTCAAAGTCAAAGAATGAAAAACTCAAACAGGACAAAGTAAGACCTGCTAGACATTTAGGCATTAAGATGCTATTTGCAGAAATTGCGAAAAATTTGATCATGAAAGGCATTATATCTCATAACACAATAGTTTCTGGAAAAATATAAACTCGGACCAGCGCTGAGCGTATGTAACCGGACTTATAACCCATAAAGAAATGGCAAAAAAAGAACAGCAAAGATGGTCAGGCATCCAGGCGAGGTACGATTGAATATTTTTTGCCAACAAATGAATATGAAAATTTGCAGGTTTGCAGAACCACAGTTTAGAATTTTTGTGTCTTGGTTCATACACTGTGCAATCTTGGGTTAAAAAATCGCATAATAGAGTAATTGCTTGTCAGGAAGTTCAAAATATGGCCAAGGTTAAAACACCACAATCTGGTACTCTGTGAAAACTTCTAACGGCATGCAGCTTTTTAGATAACATTCCCAAGGTACTGTCTCACTATGCAAGAAAAGACCCGTCAATGTTATAATTAGAACCAATTTACCGTTCTCTGAATGATTTATACAGACAATATGAAGAACACTGTACTCAAAATGAAGAGCCTGTGCTATCTTGTTTTACATTCCAGAACCTGTTTTACAATAAAAATTTATCTTTATACACATTGAAAAAAGATATGTGCGACATCTGCAGTGGACATGCAGTAGTAAACATTAATACAACTGATTATGAACAACATATTAGACGTTAAAACAGAGCGAGGCAAGAGAAGGAAACCGATAAAAAGAAAGCTACATCTGGTGAATTCATTTTGCTGTCTTTGGATTTAGAGTCTGTAAAAGTATGTCCTTATGTAACTGATAGCGCCCTTTACTTTGAGACAAAACTTACCTGTCATAATTTTACAATATGATCTTGATTTTTTTCATTTTCAAGACTTCAAACATGACCTGACGTAACGAATTTACAAAAAAAAATTACATAAAAAAATTTTCGGCCTACCTGCCTCGTGTCTAATATTTTTTATTTAAAATTTTACATTATGTCTAAATACTTGTTTCATCATGATCGATGATTTTTTATCTATTATAATGATTTTAATTTATGTAGGTAGGTGTAAATTGAGTTTGGGCTATTATTTATTCTGTGGTTTAGGTACCTGTGTCACCAAACTCAATTGAGGCCATTCGTCTTGGTGACTGTAGTCATGGAACTCGCTTTAACATTTGTAAACAAAATAAAGAATGTTTCAAAATATTTAACATATTTGTTAAAGTTTACACCTCCTAACTAACCGAATACCCACAATACTATCTATATACTATCGTATTATATAATGAAATGTCATTAGAAATACATAATACTCACTTATTAAAAGAACTGTCCTGTTACGGCATTAGTGACCAGTCTAATTTGATGCTTGTTTAGTGAGTCAATCTTGATTATTAAAGGACTATATTATGACTTTTTATTACACACTTAATTATTTAAATTGTTTTACCAAATACTCACCAATATTGTTACAAATGTGATATGTAGTTACACTAAAATATTTATTTAATCGTTAATAAATTTTCGGTTAATAAAATTATTTTTTAACCGAAAATCTAGTGACATCTTTGTATAAAATACATTTCCCAAAAATTTTTCTAGGTAACCTTTCCGCAAAATGTTATCTTACAAAAATAAATACTTCTTGACAAAAACTTTACTACACACTATGGATATAAAAGTAAGCAAATGACTGTGTACATGGGAGAAAGGCCCAAGACGTTTTTTATGTATTCATTAAGTCTCGAGCTGTCTTAATTACTTTAAGTCAAAGAAACTGTGACATCATGATACTTGAAAGGCATCTTAAAATTGAGTAGCATTTGAGTATTTGCCCATTAGTTTTTTCATATTATCTCCGTTCACAAAATGGGCACTGCGCTATGGCTCCATTTCTACTGAGTCTTACATGGTAAAGCCATGCTGTAGCTATATTAATAATATAGTTGTAGCACAAATGGGTCGACTCGAATAGGGAAGGACCACGCTCTCACAGAATCATCACCATCATCATCTTTACAGCCTTTCACAAGTCCACTGCTGAACATAAGCCTCCCCCACGTAATGCCACAAAGCATGGTCCTGAGCCACCTGGATCCATCGACTTCCTGCATGTCTTACCAGGTCGTCAATCCATCTAGTGGGAGGTCGCCCTTCACTAAGCCTACCAGTACGAGGCTGCTACTCGAGAACCTTTTCCCTATCGGTTATCAGTTCTTCGAGCTATATGACCAGACCGTTACCACTTCAGCTTGCTAATCCGTCGGGCTCAGTAGGTCTCTATGGTTCGACTGCGGATATCCTCATTTCTGAGTTTATCACGCAGAGAAACCCTGAGCATAGCCCTCTCCATAGATCACTGAGCAACCTTGAGCATCCTCATACGGCTAGGAGTGAAGCGGGTTGGCAACTGCAGTTTTTTTGTTGTACAGTTGCTGTTACCAGGAAGATGCTGCTGCCCATCTCCTGCCTGTTTTCCTCTGTTGCCTTTTACGACACCCACGGGAAGATATGGGGTAGTGGATATTTTTAACCGCCACTACACGGTACTACACGGCTCTCACAGAATACCAGCGTCAAATAGCCATGCTGCTGTGTTTTGTATGTTGCATGTTGAGAAACAGAGACCCATTTTACTGGAAATGAGGCATTCTATCTTAGTCCTTAATGATGAAAACAGATCTGCGTTTTGATTTGTAGTCAAGGATAGATGTAGATGTCTTTGGGGCCAACCACTTACCATCTGGTGGACTGTGTGCTCGTTTGTCGCCCTTATCCTGTAAAAAGAGAAAAAAGTTTCCATGCCTAGCAACATACCTTCCTGCCTCCCTATTCTGAGAAGTTAAAGAATCAAACCTTTGGGCCCACTGTATATTAAAAGAAAAAAGCACTTTCATTTGTTACCTTTTTCTGAAGCGAAGCCAAATAAATAAGCATATTTGTAACAAATATATATTTTCAGCTAATAGCATCATCATGTGATCTCTCAATATTCTCTCCTGGTCGATCAGAGGTGTGTGCTTTCTTTAGTTCTCTATGGCGAGTAATGTGCGACTGTAGAGGACCACATTGGGCTGGAGTGGCTGTTCTAGCGCGGGCTGCAATTGAACCTAATGCTAGATATGCTCTTACTCATACTTACAAGTGAGTATCTTATTACTATAAAAGTGAAGGTATTATCTTTATACTTATTGAAGCATTTGTATGTGTAACTTCTGAACAACTTGACATATTGAGAATATATACATGCAATATATTTGTTTTGTCATAACAAAGGTTCATCATAGCTCAGCTAAGATGTGATAGGTGGCGCTGTAGTCAAATTAATAACAACATTCTATATTTAGTTACTAAAATTAATAAATTGTTTTTATTATATTCTTAAATAAAAATCACTAAATACGGAGCTGATGGGTGGTTTATAGTCGAGTATTGTTGTTGCGCCAGGTACCAGACATCATCATCATGCCTAAGTTGATGTCTGGTACCTGGCACTAGCACCATTTAGTATCGAACAGAAGAACTAAGCTTTCTAGAAGGGTTCACTCTCGTACTTTTTTGAACTTAGTCGGTCGGGACCGGTATTTTGCTGGAACATTCTGTATGTTTCGGTGGAAAAGGCGTATTTAAAGCCCTTGCAAGCCGCGATCGGGGCGGTATTGAATTTGGCGATACAAGCGAAGCTTCGGAGCGAAATAAAGTGAATTAGTGTGATTAATTATTAGTATCTTTTAAGTTTTAATTGGTGTTCAGTAATAAAAGTGTAAATTTTGGTAATTTAGTTTAGTTTAGTTTAGTTTACGACGAGCTGTTTTCCGCGACTCCACGTCTAAGCGCGTATTTTGCGTGTGGGCAGGAATAATATGCTTATTCGAGCCATGATATCTCCCCGAAGAAGCTCAGCAGTCCCTTGATGCTGCAAGCAATTTCGGGGAGCGATCCCAGCGTGCCGAGATGTTTAGCCCTGTATGAAGCGACTTCTGGACATATCAGCAACACGTGAGCCGCCGTTTCTTCCTCTCTCATGCATGCCCTGCACAGGGGGCTGTCAGTAACACCTATGGTGAACAAATGTTTAAAAGAGCCATGTCCTGTGATAGCACTTCTTACTATCCTGATCTGTGGCTTGTTCAGTCTCATTAGAACCTTGGTTAGACAACTGTTTATTTCAGGTAGGGCCTCCCTAGCTTGTCTACAGTCTACAAAATTTTTCCAAAGCTGAGCGTGTAAATTATTGAAGTATCTACGTACCAGTGAACGAACGTAGCCAAAGGGGATTGGTATTATTGGTTCCGGCCCTATAGTTGCTAGGGCCGATCCCCTTCTGGCCAGTTCATCTGCTGCATCATTGCCTCTAGATCCACTGTGTCCCTTGATCCATTGCAGAGTCACATTGTTGTGCTTACATACCTCATTCAATCGTTGATGGCACTCGTATATCAGTCCCGAGTTCGTCACATTGCAACTCAGAGCTTGTGGTACCGCCATACTGTCGGTCAGTATTCTGATGGAGAAGTCTTTCACCTTCCTAGCATCTATTGCTATGGCCGCTTGGATGATACCCATGCATTCAGCCTGGAAGACTGTGTTGGGGGTACCCAGCGGTGTGCATATGTGGATATTAAGGTCTTCAGAGAAAGCCCCAGACCCCACACCTTCATTTGTCTTAGAGCCATCCGTGAAAACTTTGAGCTCTCTTGGACCCAATCCTTCCAGATGGTCAGTTTCCTTCAATTGTATCCTGTACTTCTTATCAAATACAAATTGTTTTGGGATCCTATCATACTTGGCTTGTAATATAGGAATTTTTGAGTAAATTCTATCGATTATATATGTATGGGGGACTCTACTCTTACTTAAAAGATTTAGGGTCTTGAGTCTAATGGCAGCTAAAGTTGCTTCTTGTTGTATATATAGATGAAGCGGTGTTAGCTCCAGCATAGCCTTCAAAGCTGCTGTTGGTGTTGTCCTTATGCAGCCTGTGGCAGCCATACAAGCTAATTTCTGGTAACGCTGTAGCTTTTGTATAGTGGTGGCTTCATTGGTTTTGGTCCACCATACCACAGAGCTGTATGTGATCATGGGCCGAATTACAGTTTTGTACAGCCACAGTTATAATTTTTGGCGTTAAACCCCATTGTTTGCCAATCATGTTTCTGCACTGCCAGAAAGTTAAACTAGCTTTGCTGATTTTGTTTTCTATGTGTTTGTTCCAGTTAAGTTTACTGTCCAAGGTAAGACCTAGGTATTTTACCTCGGAAGAAAGTTGGAGTTTTGTGCTGAAAAGACTTGGAAGATGATAGTTACTCAGCATTCGTTTTTGTGTGAACATTACTATAACCGTTTTATTTGGATTAACGGTTAGGTCATATTACCTGCACCATCTCTCCACAATACGGAGAGCCGCTTGGGTCAGGTCGCACACAATGCTTGCTGTCTTACCAGAGACCAGTATTGTCAGATCATCTGCATAACCGACTGTGTAGAAATGATTAGCGTTTAATTTGCTGATGAGCTCATTAATGACCATATTCCACAGGAGAGGTGAAAGAACCCCACCCTGCGGGCATCCTTTCATGATCGGAATTGTCTGAGATTCACCAGCAATCTTAATTGTTTGTGTGCTGAGCATGTTTACTATCCAGTCAATCAGCGCCGGTTCAACATTATGTCTACTTAGGGCACCTTTTATGCTGGAGAAATTTGTTCTGTCAAAAGCACCTTCTATGTCTATGAAGGAGCCTAGACATATTGCTTTGTTTTGGATGGCCTCTTCAATCTTTGTCATTACCTGGTGAAGTGCCGATTCTGTTGATTTACCTAAGCTATAGGCGTGTTGTTTTTCGTGTAGCGGTAAGTTAATTAGCGCCGACCCTCTCAACTCCCGTTCACACATCCTCTCCATCGTCTTTAGGAGAAAGGATGTGAGGCTAATAGGCCTATAGGATTTAGGGTCTGTATAGTCGTTCTTACCTGGTTTGGGTATGAACGTGACTTTCACTTCCCTCCATCCCCTAGGAACATATTTAAGAGCCAGACATGCTCTCATTATGGCAACAAGTCTGACTATTAGGACTTTACCCCCCCACTGAAGAAGTGCCGGGAATAAGCCGTCAGGTCCTGCTACCTTATAGGGTTGGAAACTATGAATGGCCTAATGGATTTTGTCCATCGTCACCACTCTTTGTGCTAATTCCCAGTCTACTTTTGTTGGTGTCAGTGCATCTTCATGCCGGTTCACCCTTTCAACTACACAGCAACCTGGGAAGTGAGTATCAATTAGGATGCGTTGGGTTTCATCCGGCGATGTTGAGTAGCTTCCGTCGGGTTTCTTTAAAGAGATAGATCCCGGCGTGTTCCGTTTAGCTAGGATTTTCATTATCCGATTTGCTTGTTCACAGGTTTCTATGCTACCACAGAATTTGCGCCACCCTGTTGAGCGTCGATACCTGATATATTTTTTGTATTCAGACTTAGCTTTCTTATATAGAAGCCAGTCTTCATCCTTTGAAGTATTCATTGCCCTATTTAGGGCTTTTCTTACCTTCTTACGTTTCCTGTCTAGTTCTTTACCCCACCACTGTTGCTTTTGCTCAGCATGTTTTGGTGGAGTGATTACTGGACATGATTCATGGTAGCTATCGATCATGGCTTTAGTGACAGCTGCTACCTGTTCTTCTAGGAGCGATTGATCTGCTATGGTATTAGTTCCCCCAACACCCGCGAGCGAAGACGTCAGCCTATTGAGGTATTTTGTTTTATCCGTCTTGCGGGGATTTCTCCATGGGGGGTATAGCGGGGATATCGACCTGTAGTACGCAGCAGATCCATCTGTCGTCTGAGCATGAGGCCTCTTTCGACACATGCCATCCCGTTATTAGCTTAGCTGCTCCTTCTGTTGCAAGTGTGAGGTCGATTATTGTGCGACAGCGTATATTTATGAAGGTTGGTTCAGAACCAGTGTATATGGTTAGGTTAGTGCTAAATAAAAATTCAACTAAAACCTTACCTCGTTCATTAGGTTTTTCCATTCCCCAAAGGGGATGATGCGCGTTGGAGTCCGTCCCGATCACAACCTCTAGTCCGGCCCTCTCACAGAAATTCACCAGTCTGACGAGGTCGTGAGGGGGAGGGGTATGGAGTATGGAGGCATGTACACCGAGGCCACGACTAACCTTTCCTCCTATGTGTTTTGTAATGTTACGGCATACATGTCTCTGGAACAGAAATCTGTTAGAGGTTTTGCACAGATATCTTTAGTAGTATAAATACACGCTCTAGGCTTGTCGTGCTCAGAGTTGTAGGATAACTCACCTCTTAGGTTGTTTAGGCCTTTAATTTTACCAGCCCCAACCCATGGCTCTTGGATTAGGGCTATGGCCGTCCTTTGTGCCTCCAACCACTTGCGTAATTGAGCCGACGCTGTCTCACTGTGGTGGAAGTTGGCCTGGGCTAGTTTTGGACGAAGGGCACGCCATCATCGATCGCGTCATCCCCGTCCCCGCCTAAAAATAAGCCTGCCAGCAGATCTCGGGTTTCATCGTCAGCCACCGAGTCGGAATTGGACGGCAAGATGCAGTCCTCTTCGTTGCTCAATGAGCTGTTTCCACTAGGGGCCGAAGCCCCTGCACAACCGAGCCGAAGCTCTCAGTTTTTTCACTGGACTTGACATCCAGTGATTTCGATGTTCCGGCAACCATGGCCACGGTATCCATGACTTCCGGGTTCTTTTCTGCCTCTTTGCTAGGTGGGGAATTAACGAATTTTCCTCCACGACCCTGGAATTTAACGTATACCGCCCCACATACACATGCCAGACGGCGCCCGGCTTTCATCAGGGTCGGGATATGATCCTCCGGCACCGAAACAACGAGTAACCACCCGTCCGTCTGTTTGTCCGCTTTGAGTAGAAGCGAGTCCTTGATATTTACCCAGCGGTTCTGGTACGCAAGCACACGGCCAATGTCGCGTGAGTCCTTCCAGGCACCTTGGGCATCAGGGATAAGGATACCACATTTGATTCTTTGTGGTATCTCTGACTGTTTCTTAATAGTCAACGAGGTGTTGGATTTGAGGTCGAGGGCATTAATATTCCCCTTCAACCAGTCCAGAGCCTTCTGGTAATCGCACCACAGCTTTAGGACACCCTCCTTGTAAACGGGGTTGCCTCTAAAAACCGGGCCCGACGCATCAGGGTCCTGGTTACTCCAGGCCTCGCTGATTATCTTCCTCTGTATGGCCACGAGGATGTCATCAGCTATCTCCTTTGTTATGTGACCTGAACGCGCACACGTTAAGGCCACACCCAAATCTGCTTTAGCAGCAGAAGCGTAGCTTGTTCTTGCAGCCTTTGTTTGCTGTTCAAGTCGCACTTTTTTGTGCTCTCCTCTCGGCGAGGTGGACTTTTCCAGCAATCTTTTGGCTGCTCTTTCCTTCTTTCCAGGACGCTTGGCTGCTCTCTGGTTCCTGGCGGATTTCTTAGAGCTGGTTCCGGCGGCCGTGCCTATTGCTTGGGCTAGATTTTCATCCTGCCCAGTTTCAGCACGACTACTGGTTCCAGCCCCAAGCACCGCAGTAGCAGTAGCTTGCCCAGCTTCCTGAGTCTTGTTCTTGGAAGCAGCGAGCGCGGCTCTTTCTCTGCGGCCCATTTCTCGCTGCTTCTTATTCTTCTTTTTGACCTTTGCGCTACTGCCTGCTGGGATAGACCCACCTGATGGTGCGTTGGGTCGGCAAGTCACCATTTTGGGTGCCTTGCGCTTCCCCTTACGGCTTACCACTTGCCAGGCAGCGGAGAAAAGGTCTTCGGTCCTTTGGGGCTCCGCAGGAGTTTTGCCCCTTGCTCATTTTTCTCGTCCAGCTCCTTGGATTTTGGAACTGGATTTAGAGACATCCAGCGCGGAAATTGCCCACTTGATGGGGCCACCTACGTTGGGTGGTACAGTCAGTGGAACGGCCGGTTTAACGGCGGTTCCTTCTGGTTTATCAGTGTCTAAGGTAAACACCTCTGACACTTCTCCTTCTCTACTAATGGGCCTTGTGTTGTCCATAGTTTTGACATGTGTAATAATTCGTCCCTTCGGCTTCCCACCCTCCATGGAGCCCGCACCTTTGGGAACGCCCTACTTTATTCAAAGAATTTCAGGCGTTAGGATTACCGGGGGAATATAGGGATGCAGAGTTGGCTAACAGCGCGACATCGGGAGCTCGATCCAGCTGGCAGATAGGGCTGACAAAGGCCCACCCACTGCCCGAGTTGACTTGCACTTGCCCCGTCAGCAAGGTCTTTACCACCACCTAGCCCTTTTCAGGGAGACTAGGCAGCCCCCACATCCCTCGCCTGCGACCCTCTGACGGGACGCTTGGCCATTTCCTTATCTGTGGCTAGCAGATAAGGCCACCGTTTAGCTTGAAATCCGGACCAAAGAGGGCGTGTTGCCTCTCGACACTATACTATATACCCCAGTGACGATCGGCTCAACCCTCCAGGACTACTTCATCCCCGCATACGGCGCTCAACTGCGCAGGTCCTAGCACAGGTGGGTGTGTTAGTCCACCGGATACACCCACTCTCTCCGGCGGAACCGTTCCCTCCTCTTTTCCGGGCTTGGGACCGGCAGCAACAAAAAGCATTGACAAAGTTAGTTGCCCGTGCTTCCTGTTGCGGGCAGAGTTGCAATTTTGGTAATTCAATCGGCAGTTTTTATTGTAACGAACCCTAAGCTCGTAACATTATTAAATTTTATATTTTACATTGTTAAAAGTACAGTGAAACTCATCGCGCTACTTTCCGATATCTGCTGAGGCAGCTAGTACTGTTCTAGAAATTAATATTCATAAATATTTAGCATAAATAAGTAGTTAGTTTAAAATAAATTTTTCAATATTTATTTCAATAAGAAATGTTTTTGTATTTTCAGATTCATGCCCATCCTTGCTCGACTTTTATCCAGTGCTATTTCAAATGAGAAGAAAATAAAACTGCTATCAGTTATGCAGGTAAACCTTTATTGTATATATCCTAGACGCCTGATGACCTATGGCGCCAACTCTTGAATAGACCATTATTCGGCTTAACCAAATAATGATCCGTTCCTACGTTAGCCTTACATTTCATTAACACTTTCCTTACCATTTCCCAAAACTGCTTTCTGATATAAGTGGGCTTAGACATGTCTGGGGCGTAGACACCTAGCAGAAACAACTTCTTTAAGCCCACTTTCATTGTATCCATAGCAGTCTTGGGCTTACACATTCATACTCTTTCACACATTAGCCCATTTTTTCTGAAAGGATCATCCTTTCAACCTATCAACCTACTCCATGGCATGCCCACTCGATCTCGACTACACCAGACTTTCCCTTCCGTTTCGTCTCATTTACACATAACACATCTATTCCTCTATCATACATCATATCGTATACTTCATCCATTTTATCATTCATTGCTCCACATACATTCAACGTAGCCAGACGGGCCTCTGCAATCCACTTTTCGGCCCTCCGGGAGACAGAACGTGACGGGTGGTGAACCTTGTCGCCGGTTTTCCTCCCGGAGATTCTTCGCACCCCTGCCCCAGGGGCCTAGGATTAAGTGGTCAAAGCCTACGGACGCGTGCACTTGTCCCCCTGTAATGGAATTATTTAAATTTAAATTAAAAAGCGTTTTTTATTAATTTCAGGATATTTCTTATGGCATCAAGATCAGTTGGCAAGAATCTTATCTATCTGAACTCATGAAGCAGCTCACGGATTGGATAGTACAGCCTATGTCAGAGCCACAATACCGCACTATTGGGCATAAATCTTTAACTGTCCTTGTCAATTTATGCTATGGAAATCTTCCAGCTATTTATGCACTTATGAGGACTGTAGATACAAAAGAATTTGTTGTCCATCTAATAAATTTGAAGGTAAACAAAATAATTTTCAATACTAAACTTTATATTATTGTTTTTAATCTTGGGGAAAAATCATTACAGAAACAGGTAATATATGTGAGTAAGGCAAGCCTTACAACTTAGAATATAAATCGAAATTATCAATAGATAGATAGCTCTATCATTACACTTATGAATCTCAGCCAATGTTTGCAAGATTAACTATAAAGTTATGATATTAATAAAATAAAATATGTTTTGTTTGTGTATTTAGTGGTATACCCATTACTTTGAACAGTATTTGAAGAAGCTTTATCTTTATGGCAAAATTCGTTCTTAAGTATATCAATGTGGCAACGCTGTCATCGCGCCACAAGCAAAACTGCACCGTAAACTAAATCGTGCTATCGAAGTTCCAAAGTACTTCCGTATATATAGAATAGCTCTGTAGTACCACATGGAGCGTTGGCCACTCCCTGGGCTGATCTGATGACTTCTGGCACTTGCTCCAGCTCGTATTTTTCACCACCATCATTTCTGTAAATCGTCATGTAGGTATTACAGAATATATCATATACATATACACACACACATATACAATATATATCACAATATTGATTCTACATCCTTTCATTTCGCATTATTGTAGCGTCCACCACTTGTAGGCATTTTTTATAGATTATGAGAAAGAAAGAAAGAAAGGAAGAAATGCATTTTATTCAAGTTCAAACATGCAGCATAACAAGCAAAAAGTAGATATAAGCCAAAAGATAAATACAACTAAATTAAAAGTAACTTAACATTATTATAAATTTAAGAAAATATTTTAAAAATACCCTGTGCTGCAGCATGAAACTGTGAAACGGACCGGACTCAGTGATAGCACTGGTTTTCAGTCCAGCCCTTACCCAGAGGCAGCTCGGGCGGTTGAGTGCACGCTCGCTCTAGATGCCCGAAAATTCATAATAAACTATAAACATATACATATGCATACCCATACCTATATATAATTGGACTGAAAGCGGATTTATTATTTATTTTAACTTACTGGTAAATCCATTCACCGTTAATTTAGTAATAAAATTACTACATTAAATAATTATCATAGTTATTTTACCTGGATACTACGTCTTAACCAACATCTTTTTGTTCATTGAGTAGAAGTAATTTATATTTGTTTTTAAAACTATTAATCGTTGTAAGGCTACGTAAAGGAGGTGGCAGATTGTTCCAACACTTTGTTGCATTGTATTTAAAACTACCTCTGAATGCAGTTGAGCGGCTAAAAGGATATACTAATTTTTGTTCAATTGATCTGAGATAATGTTTATTATTGTGATCTTTGGCCCAATCAAGCTTATCGTACAGATATAATGGTTCTTTGTTTTTTACAATACCAAACAAAAGAGTGGCAAAGTGTAGACGTCTCCGGAGGTCCATTTTAATATATTTGCTTTGTTGAAAAACGGTGTTACATGTGTACGTGGTGGTAGGTTAAAGCAAAAACGCGCACAGGCGTTTTGCACCCGTTGTATAATTTGTTTGGTACGAGCTAGAAGTCACGGTCCCATGAGAGAATCAGCATAGTTGAATTTTGATAGAACAAGGGACTCGCATAAATTTACACGCAGAGTCAGGTTTAGGTAATTGCGAATTCGATAAAGTACTTTTAGCCTAAAAAAGCAATTACGTACAATGTCAAAAATGTGCTTCTCGAATCGCAGCTGCTCGTCCATCACTACACCAAGATTTCTCGCTTCAGGGACTCTCTCTATTGTATCCTTATTTATGTAAACAGCGGGGCATTTCGATATAATCTTTCGTAACTGTGTTGGCGTTCCCAGTATCATGTATTTTGTTTTTTTTGGATTTAGAACTAGTGTGTTACGCTCAGACCACAGAGATATGCGATTCAGGTCGGCGTTAAGCTTTGCCAAAGCTATATCTGTGTCGAAGGGCTTAAAAGAAATATATACCTCTAAGTCGTCTGCATACATGTGAAACTTACAATGCTCTATATTATTTACAATATCCGCGCTGTAAAGTATGAAAAGCAGTGGTCCTAAGATAGAACCCTGCGGAACTCCCCGTTCAACCCGCCGATTATCCGAAGTGATTCTGGTGTTATCGTTTCTTGTTAATACGACTTGCTGGGAACGGTTTTTAAAATAGCTGCTAAACCACTTAACAGCATTTTTACTTAAACCATAATATGATAACTTAGAAAGTAGTAAGGGAACATTAATGGTATCGAATGCCCGTGAGAAATCCAGCAAAGTCAAAATAGTGGCCTCTCCGTTGGATTGTGCTGTCAGTATGTCGTCTACGACCTGAATTAAGGCAGTTGTAGTGCTCCGCTGTTTTCTGAAACCCGATTGCAGCCTGGGCAGTATATTATTGGTCTCAAGATATTGAGTTAATTGCTTACATACTATTTTCTCTATAATTTTAGATAAACACGGTAAGATGCTGATGGGTCGAAGGTCAGACATACAAATAGGATTACTAACTTTTGATATAGGTTTAACAAGGGCTTGCTGCCATACAGTAGGATAGGTGTTTGTTACGAAAGATTTATTGACAGCGTATATTGGTCTATTAAACAATTTCAAAGATAGTGTTTATCTCATTTCTTTGAAAATTTACCAGATGTCGATATACAAATATTCGTATATTGTCAGACGGAGGGAAACCAATCAGGACTCCCTTCCATATTACAAATTATCCAGAATCCCCGTAATATACATAGTTTTTAATTCGTTCTCCTGCTTAACGCAATTCCTTTGTATGGTGCGAAGTTGCCACTCTTATTAGTTATTCCGCTTTGTAATATTTTATTTATAGGTGATATTTTGTTTATGTAGGTATTCGATAGATTCTGATTGTCTGTTTTTTTCGCAGGAGACAAAAATAACAGATCGTTATTAGATTCGTTTAGCACGAATAATACAGCTTTTATGATTCTAGTTCTGATTAGATTTAATTTTAGTCACTTAAGTTTCGTATATTGTTCAAAATAATGAAATAAATCCACAGAATGTACAGTTACGAAAAATACGCAATATCATTTTTGTTTCCGGCGAAAAATAAAAAACAGATAGATATCATGATTAATTTACCAACTAGTTATTCGTTTACTAAATACGAAAAAATATCTAGGATGGCCCAGCCGTGATACATTATAGATTATATTATATATAATCTATAATGTATCACATTATAGACTATATTATTATTTATTTTACTATTGTAAATAAGTATATACTATTAAACGAGCAATTCTTGTATATATATAATATATATATAATATATATAGAAATATGAATATATATATATATATATATATATATATACAATCGGGATCTCGGAAACGGCTCCAACCATTTTCATAAAATTTAGTGTCCAGGGAGTTTCGGGGATAATAAATCGATCTAGCTAGGATTTATTTTTAGAAAATGTCTTTTTTGTCCGTGTTTTTAAGCAATGAAAAACTGCTACAATATCGTTAGAATAAGAAGGTAAATTTTGACGGATTGTTAGTGATTATAAATAGCTTAATTGGTATAAATGGTCGGTCACAGAATCTTAAAACCCCGGTTCGAGCCCAGACCGACCGACCCCGACTTCTTTTAATTTTTTATTCATGTTCCTTTCTTTTTTTGAGAAAATCTATTTTTTCGAGCTCTTTTTTTTAGTATTTTTTTAAAAACACGAAAATTTAAATTAAAATAATTGCACTCATGATTTTTTATTCAAATAACCAGTTCCGTTTTTTCTGTTATGTCGCTAAGATCAAAAAATATTATTTATATTTCATCAGTATGTAATTTGTATCTAAATATAATTTCCAAAACACACGAATTAAAAAAAAATCGAGCGAAAAATACCGAGCAAAGCTCGGTCAACCAGGTACTAAGTACTAATTGTAGAAATTGACAGGGTTAATAGAAGTTTATTTTCTTATATTGTGACTAATAACCTAATATGACATTGGGAAGAAACTCATTTTAATATAAGGTTTTACTGCATTAACTGCCAATGGGTTCATAATTTCTACAATAGACCGTGGCGTATTGTTCCTGACATGAATAACTCCGAAAATATAATTTATTTACTTAATTGTATTGAGTTTTGGTGCTCTCACTGCGAGTTTACTTCTTATGATCACATATACGGACGTAAGAATATCCTAAAATATTCACACTAAGTTTTATTTGACGTCCACTTCTTCGATATCCGATGTCCAAAGTTTTTGTTGATTATTGCATTTTACTATTTATTTATGTTGATTATTTATTTAGTGCTCAAGGCATATTTTGGTATTTTTTGTCGGTTTATACTGTACTTAGTGCTAGTAGATAATTTTACTTTCCAATTTGTTTTCGTGTCCTTAGATTTAGCTACATATATGGACGTCCGAATATCCTAAAACATTCGTACTGAATGCTATTTGACGTCCATATTTTTGAATTTTGTTATATTTCTATATGTGGACGTCAGATTATCGGTAAAGTTTAATACCACACGATATTTGACGTCCATATAACTATAAATATATTTATATTTTAATTCCTTGCGTATTAAATACACATTAATGATCATTGTTTTAATGACATTTTTCTCTATTGTTTTATTCGTATTTTAGTGTAGGGAGGTCATGCGGTGTAAAATAGTCACTTTGGTGTTTTATAAAATGTTTCATTCTAGAAATGATAAAACGCTTAGAAGCTTAGAAAACGTGTGTGAAAAATTAAATTGTATTTCCACTAACTGCAAAACCAAACATAATATCATAATTTAACAAAAATAGCCTTTCACAAAAATTTATCTAGTTAAGTAGAGAGTAATTTCGTACAGATTAGGTACAATAATCGCACTCATTTACGATGCAGTGAGAGCACCAAAACTCAACACGATCAAGTTAATAAATTAATTTTTCGGAGTTATTAATGTCAGCAACAGTATGCCAAGGTCTATTGTAGAAATTAACAACCTATTGGCAGTTAATGCAGTAAAACCTTATATTAAAATGA